CTAGGCAGCAATTTGGAAGGCTTAAGTGAGCACATACACTTAATGGGCCAAAAGCCCAATACGAGCTGGGCTAATTAGATTGGCTTGAATGGGGCGAATCTGAGATATGGACCAGCCTTAAAGGATAAGGGAAAGTCCCTATCCACTTAGTAAGAGTCCAGATTTGAATTTCAAATATGGAAGCTCCTAATCAAAATTAGGAGGGCTGATCATGATCTGTAGATTAGATAAGGACTCTACCTTATCACTTAAAGGGATCAACATCTCCTAATAGGATTAAGAGCTGATCCCTTTAGGATTATATAAGGAGGAGGGGGCGGCAGCCTCAAAACACACTCATTTGAGATATAGATACAACACAGAAGAGAGAAATCAGCATATAGTGAGACTGTGCCAATTTCTCCCTGCCACCTCCTTCCTACCGCCGCCGCCTTTAGCAGTTCATCTCCACTCACGTGGGAGTCATCAAGAAGGGTTCTTGATTTCAGTTCTTTGTGAAAGAATTGAAAAGAAGTTGTGCTTACCTGCCTTCCAGTGGGTTCTTGCGAAGGATCCAGTTCTTGTGAAGAACGTTGTTGATTATGCTCCGTCCTACACTGCGCCATCTTCAGTGGGAGCAGTCTTTGGTGACTTTTCTGGGCGTGAATACCTTCGTTGGGGGATACTAATTCTCCATATCAGGTATTTCCTTCTCCTACTGTTTTGTTCAGACCTGATTTGGTTCTTGATTCAAGATTGATCCTTGAAAATTAGTTTTCTAAAATAGGGAATGCGATTCCCAGTTGTAGGAAGGAAAGAAATTTTTGAAATTCGCCCATTCTATTCCGCTTTATCCGGGTGTCCATATGATGGATCTTTCCATTCCTTCAGATGGATCTCTCATCCCTTCATGATGGAGGTCATGAAGTTGGAGCACTATACTACTTGGGTGTCGGTGGTTCAATGAAGCTCCTCACTCATTCCTTACTCCTCACTAGGGGCATTGTCGTTTGGTTCATCCTTCACTTTGTGTCTTGAAGAAGTTAGTTCCTAGTTTGGTGTCAGTGTCTTAGTTGGATTACCAATCGTGTCACTTCAACAAGTATCATAGAGTCACTCTTGTTCTCAAAAAAAGATAATAGAGTCACAAGTCCTTTTGATCGTGTTCACCTAGTTGTTTGGGGCCCAAGTCATGTGTTGTCTTATAATGGATTTAGATATTTTGTAACCTTTATTGATGATCATTCATGAATGACATGTTTATATTTAATGAAAGAATGTTCAAAATTGTTCTGTATTTTCCTTTCCTTTCATGCTTAAATTCGAAATCAATTTGGTGTTTGTATTAAGATATTTAATGCAAAGGAATACTTTCATATTTCCTTTCAAACCTACTTTGATACTTCCATTTGTCTTCCTGTTTCCACACTCCTCAGCAAAATGGTGTAGTTGAACGGAAGAATCAACACATTATTGAGACAACTCGTGCCTTATTACTCCAAATATTTGTTCCTAAAACCCATTGGAGTGATGTTGTTCTTACTTTGTGCTTCTTGATCAATCATATGCCTACATTTGGCCTTGTTGAGAATTCTCCCTTCTTTATCATGTTCCCTTCAAGATCCCCTCTCTCTCTCTCTCTCGTGTTTTGTGATGTGTTTGTCTTGTCCATCAATTGGGCCCTAGACATGATAAACATGACTCCTAGGCAATCTAGTGTGTCTTTCTTGGCTACTACTGCACACAAAAGGGGTAAAGAAATTATGATCCTATCCTCCGTAAGTCATTTGTTGTTCTTGATGTCCTTGGTGGCTAAGCTGTTATCTATATGTATTATTATTTCTTTAGTTGTCTATTTTGATTGGCCCTTGTATCAACTAGATGCCAAGAATGCTTTTCTAAATGGTGAGTTTGAGGAGGTGTACACAAAACAACCTCTGGGGTATGTTGCTCAGGGGGAGATTGGAAAGGTATGTAAGTTGTGTAAGGCCATTTATTGTTTAAAGCAATCACCACGGGCATGGTTAGGTAGGTTGAATAGTGTTGTGTAGGTGTTTGGTCTCAAGCAATGTGGAGATGATCATTCAGTTTTCAGTAAGGATACTATATTAGGGAAGATTCTCTTGGTAGTTTATGTTGATGACATAGTCACTATTGGTAGTGATGTTAGTGGGATTAATGATTTAAAGCAGTTTTTTCTACAACACTTTCAAACCAAGGATTTGGATTCTTGAAGTATTCCTTGGGTATTGAAGTAACCCGCTCGAAGTGGGGCATCTTGTCACAATGCAAGTGTTTCTTGAATTTGTTGGATGAGACGGATCTACTAGGGGCTAAACTAGTGAGATCCCTATGGATCCTAATGTGAAAATGATTGATAGTCAAGAGGAACAATTCAATTATCCTAGAAGGTACAAGGAATTAGTTGGCAAATTGATTGATCTCACAATCACCCATCTTGATATCTCCTTTAGTGCAGGGGTTCTGAGTCAGTTCATGCAAAATCCAACAATCATTCACTGGGAAGGTGTTGTAAGAGTGTTGAGGTATCTGAAAGGTGCTCCAGGCTAGGGATTACTATACAAGAAAGGGGGGAGAACTAACCTTAGAGAGGGATATTCCGATGTAGTTTGGGCAAGTTCGTCAATGGATAGGAGGTCTACTATAGGGTGCTTTTTCTTTTTATGTGGCAATCTCATTACTTGAAAAAGTAAGAAGCAGAGTGTAGTTGCTAGGAGTAGTGCTAAAGTTGAGAACAGAACAATGGCCCACACCACTTGTGAGTTGATAAGGCTGAAACATCTACTTCATGAGATAGGCATTCCTATAGGGAAACTTGTCAATTTGTTTTGTCATAATCAGGCCGCTACTCATATTGCAACCGATCTAGTGTTTCATGAGAGGACCAAGCATATAGAAGTTGATTGTCATTTTGTAAGAGAAAAGGTGATGAATGGTGATATTGTTACTCCTTATGTCAAGTTGGAAGATCAGCTAGCAGATTTGTTTACCAAGAGCTTGTGTCGTACTAGGATGGATTATATTTGAAACATGCTGGAGCTCTATGATATATATGCTCCAACTTGAGGGGGAGTGTTGAAATGTATGTTTGTAAGGGTGATGTGGACAGAAAGAAAAATTACATGCACCTCAAGTATTCAGCAATAAGCACAAGAAATACCAAGTTGAAAACAACAAAATAAGTTGGATTTTTAGGGATTTCAGACCTGAACCTGAAGTAAAACTCCTCCTGGAACAGTTCCGCTACAGTAACAATGGCAGCAAGCTGGCCTCCCACGCGGACACACAACAATGGAGGGAATGGAAGGTGCCAAAATGGGTTGACTCAAAACCCAAGCTCCCAATGCTTGAAAACCTTATTTGGGGCTGAGCTACAGCTCAAATAAGAGAGAAAGAACCAAAAAAGAACCCTATAGAAACAACCCCCTAGAATGTTTCCTCTCATAAGCAACTCCTTAAGAATAAACCAACTTCAAATGAACCCTCAAAAGATAACTTTTGTTATAAAAAGACCCAAGAGACCAAAACCCAACTGATATATGCACCCAACTGCCCCTGACCAAAAGTCTGACTTAATGACAAAAATACCCCTAGTTCCAAACTGTCAACAAAGCTACCCAAAAACAACAATTTGGGATCCTACTACAAGAAAAGCATGCAAAACAGAATACATTCACACATTTCTTTTTTCTTGCCTCATCAAAGGGCCTTTTAGTCTTTCGAGTATGGCACTGTATCTCCCCTGTTAAGTATCACTTAATAGGGGCATTCTATAATTTCACACATTCAAAAGAGCAGATTAACAGTTCAGGTCGACAAGGAGAAGAGACCAGTTCATATCTTCTTCTTTTACACCCTTTTTTTCTTCTTGTTTTCTACTGTACAAGGCATCTTGCTCTATCTTTTTCCCTCCTTTTTCTCTCTTTAGTCTCAAGTTATTTCAATAAATATCTTTCTTCCCCTCCCTCCCTCCCTTGATGCAAATACATTTCAAAAGGTGGAAGTTCCATTATTCTCATCTAAAATGGAAGAATGCTTATGTTTTAAATTTCCATGTGATGTCTTTGTGTTTTTATGTATTGTAATGATTAAATACATCTAAGTAACAAATGTTCTTCTTATGTGCATTAATAGGGTCTTGGGTTTATTAACAAGGAGCAATGCATTCATTTGTTTGAAGAGTTAAACAAATACAGGTAAAAAACTCATCTCACTTCCTTCTACATGCCATCTTTCTTTTTTCTTTCTTTCTTTATTTTTATTTTCTGATGTTATGTAGGTCCAATGCAATCTTACCTAAATTATACATTCATCATTGAGCATGGATATAGCACTAAGCAGAACAGAATGGTGAAACAGGATTCACGTAGCCTGCCCCGTATAGTAGGGATATGGCTTAGATGATGATGATTGTTTGTTCAGTGGCTTCAGCAGTTCAAACCACTTAAGAAGAAACAGAAGAACAGTCGAACCTCATAGATAAACCCTATCAGCCGACCATAATGTAGATTAGTTCAAACCACTTAACTGAATAAAATCACTAATCTACCCTCATTCGGCTAGCTCTAACACTCCCCCTCAAGCTGGAGAATATATGGCATTAAATCCCAGCTTGTTACATATATAGTTCACTCTCCCTGAGCTTAAGCCTTTTGTAAACAAATCTGCCCATTGACCACCTGAGCCCACATGTTCTGTGCTTATCTCTCCAGTAAGGACCTTCTCCCTCACAAAGTGGCAATCAATCTCTATGTGCTTTGTTCTCTCATGAAAAACAGGGTTAGATGAGATGTGAAGTGCAGCTTGATTGTCACAGTACAATTTCATAGGTCTGTCCATGGAGAATCCGATTTCTTGTAGGAGATTCC